TTTTTCTCAATACTTTTATCATTAAGCTATTTCTTAAAACAAGTCCCGATTTCGTTGTTGTTGTTTTGGGGGTTTTCTTTCTTTTTTTTTTTTTTTTTTTGGATACAGGCTCTCCCTATATAGATTTGGCTGGCCAGGAACTCACTATCTAGACCAGATTGGTCTCAAATTTGCAGTGATGCGTCTTCCTTTGCCTCCCAAGTGCTGGGATTCCAAATGTGTGCCATCATGTTTGGCTTTGATTTTTATTTTTAATTAATCAAATTATAACAAGAGCACTAATTGCTGAAACAGGAACTTTAACATTAACACCCCCAAAAGTTGGTAATTGCTAGGTAACTCTCACCTGCTCCACTGAAGCAAACTACTTTTAAGAGTTAATGAAAAATTTTTCATACAGTACAACCTACAGATTACAACTTTAAAGTTTCACTAAATTTCTGATGTAAATGAATAGGTAACAGGTTAGAGCCGTAATTTGGTGACTTCAATGTCAACAGGACTCGAGATAAGTTTTTAACAAATTACTCAACCTCTTCTGTCTGTTTCCTCTATAAAATAGTTAACATCCCCATGAAGGCTTGGCTGTGAAGATAAATCAATACATGCCAAACCCAGGGCCTAGCACATAAGACTTTTTAAGAAAAGGTAGTTACAAATTATCCACCTCAGCTTCCCAGGGATAATTATTTCTGTTGCCCAGAAATAATTATTAATAATGCTTCATTTACTTTTAAGTGTCCTGATTAGTAAAACCAACGTATGTGGCTCTCTTGCAATGCTGATGATAAATAAATACCAGAGAAGCATAGACCAATTAGGACTTTACTGTTAAAGGAGGAAAATAAAACTCCACACAAAATAATAAGATATTCATATTCTGGCATTTCATTTAGCTATTCACCGAAAATTTAAAAGCAATTTTTTATACCCATGTCATTCCAACAATGGCTTAAAGCAACAAAATCTTTTCTTTCTGTGCTACACAGGCTTGGCTACTTTCAGATGGGAAAGCACAGGTGACCTACAGGTACTGAGAAGCACTGCTGTTTGAGTTCCCAGTGAAAAGCACCCACTCTCATCATGAAGCAGGGCCAACACCATTAACATATTATCAATGAACCCATCCAACCACAGGGACTGCAAAACCAGAATATATACTTGTAAACATGCCTTCTACTTATAAATCATCAGGAGATGAAATAAAAATAATTACCTGACTGTTATGGCATAGTACTGAAATAATATAAACTGGATTTTAGTTTTCTTCACACTCTGCTCTAGGAAAAAAAAAGAATCCATTATTCTTCCTCTTTTATAAAATACACATTTTCTTTTGAAATAAGACACATCCTTAAAATATGCACCCTATGTATTTTAGTTGCATATACTACAACTCAACCTAATTCAATATTAGTATTAAGATACTTGGGGAAACCAAGAAGGTCAGAGGGAATCAAAAGTTATAAGATTTCCTTTAAAAGCTGAAAGGCAATCTACACTTTAATATTAGCTTGCTTAAAATAGGCCTTTCCTTATCAGACTAGTAATTATTTTCAGATTCTAAGAGTCGAGCTTTCAAGCACTTATTTTTGACACATGACACTTGCCTAAGGCAGGAAACTAAAGTAACAGAAATCATCAGGACATGTTAAACTAAAAAATGTTGGTGACACTTTTCAGTAAGAGGAACTTCCCTACAATAGTTACTTTAAAAAGGGCTTGGGTTGCTCTTTCTAGATACTTATCCTGTATTTTCAGTTTAGAAAACTGATTTAAGCAAGAGGAAGGCCTGTAATTGTGCCTGCCTGCTCTCAAGTCCTTCAGTACTGACTATGCATCTGATGGGGTGATGAGTAACTTTGTAATTATGAAGAGCGAAAGAAATAATTAGCACTATATTTATTATTTTTTCCTGTCTTCAATGACCTAAAAGCACTGTGATTAATTCTGATTCAGGAAATGTAGGCACCTTATTTCTAGCAAAAAATTATTGTGGTGCCCTGCAAAAGGTGGATTATTGTCTGATACAAATTTTCCTGCCACCCCCAAACGAAAAAAATATGACCTAAATAATCAGTCTGCTAGGCCTCAGAATCCCGGACTAACCTGTGGAATAAGTATGGTGAAACTGTCCAGAGAAGGAACGTGGCTGTCTCCTCCATCTTGAAATTAATCAGCGTAAGGGAAAAAGGGCCTGAGTATTCAGGAAGCAGAAGCCCAACCGGTTAATACTAGTTACTAAGCTACGGCGTACGTGGCAGGTACCGCCCGCAGAAGCCGAGACCCTTAGGGGTTTTTTTGGGGGGGGGGAGTGGGGTAGGGGTTAGACTGTTGGCGGACTGCACGAAAATTAACTTGAAAATAATTTGGCCCAATTCCCAACCTTATCCAGGGAAAACCAACCCCACAACGACTTTTCCCTCCGTTTTCTCTGGGGGGGTGGGGGTGGGGGTGGGGCGGGGAATCCTTCCAGTAATATCTAGGAAAGCATTACACCAGGACTAAAGGAGCAAGGAAACGAGCCACATTGGTCTCTGATTCTCAGAAGACTGTCATCCCGACCCCAGGGGGCACCAAATTGGTAATGTCCTACAGAACTCAAAACGGGGCTTTCTAAATCCTGGGAAAACCTAAAGGGCACAAGAGCTCCCAACATCTGACTTATAGCACCCCCATCCCCAAACCAACACACATAGTTTCCCAATTCCAAGCTGAACAAGCAAACTGCGAGATGACGGAGGAAAACTCCAAGGAACCGGAGAGAAAAACCCAAGACTCTTCGATTCCCACGCCTCGGGCCCAAACTCGAAGATCGCCCTCCCAGAATTCTCGGGCTCCGGAGGGCAGGGCCGCGGTTCCCGGGCCGCGGAGAGGAAGTCCTACCCACCTCCTTCCCCTTCTTCAAGGAGCCGGCCGCCACAGCACTCAGCTAAAATGGCAGCGGCGATTACGCCACCGAGCCCCCCGCCGCAGCGAGCCCGGGTCCGGAGGCCGTGCTGGGCCACAGCTGCGCTGCAGCCCATTTTGCCAGCCACGGCGGCCCCGCTCCCCTGCCTCGCTCAGCCCCACGTCCATTTCTGAGGACTCCCATGACTTCACTTACTCGGTGTTCTGCCAAGAGCGGCCTCTCTCGGCTCGGTGGTCGCGCCGGGGCTCTGCTGCGTCTTCCCTGCGGCCGCTCTAGGGTCCGCCCCTGAGTTGCTGATGGAGACCAGTGTCTAGCCCAGCGCCGGCTCGGAGACGTTGCTCAAGCAGCCATTATCTTCTCCATTGTTACCTAGCAGTGACAGGAAACGACTGCCCACAACAGGAAGTGATGGTATGGCGTCTAAACTCCGCAGCCCCACTCCCAGCCTGCTGGCCAATCCCAGATTTCACGGAAAGGTTCGGTGGGAGCGGAGCGGAACCGCCTGCCGACGCAAGGGGCCGGACAACGGTTAGGGAAAGGAAAGCGCGACGCCCACCACGTGACAGGCCCCACCCTCTTCCGCCATTTTGAATTGTGGCGAGAAATTCGCGTTCGGAGAATTGTGGGAGTCTTTGATTTCCCATTTTGAAAGCTGAAGGACGTCACTGGCTGCTCGAAGCCTGTTTCAGAGAACAAGAAATGTGGTGTTAGGGTAACTGGCAGTGAGCCACCCCCCCCCTGCCGAGGGCATCCAGCACTTTATTCAACATGTATTTACTGAGAACCAACTGTAGATCGAGCTTAGCTGCAGATGTTGAGGAAATTGAATCATAAAAAGGTTGAAATAGTCTAAAACTCCCAATTCTCATGGACTTTGATAATTAGCTAGGGTGGGCAATTTTTCAATATTTGTTAATAAATACGAGGGAGGAAAAGTGCTCAGGTGGAAAGTATTTGTAAGGAAAGTGAATTTGCAATATTTAAAGAGGGATGACAGGAGGTCTCTTTGAGGTGCTAATTCAAGTACTTTAAAAGGGGCGCTTATTGTAAAGGGATGGGAAAATCTGATAGCAATGGCATTCTAATAGGCTGGTTAAGGAAGTGTCTCTTAGATGGTAATGCATAGGAAGGAAGTGAATGCACCTTTCGCCTTTCAGTTCCCACTGTCACAAAAAAAGGGGAAAAGAATCTAAACGGAGGTTTTTAGGGTACTTCTGCATTTTTGCAAATTTTTATGTTTTCTAATAAAATGACAAGCGGGCTATCTTTCCTACTATTTTCCCAACCAACCTTATTCCCACTTTAACTGCTTCACCTAGGTTACAGTAATTTTCTTTCATACTTTTACGTTAATAATCCAAGCATCTCTTCATTTCTCAAAGGCTGACAACCCTAACTTAACTGCTCCCATGTCCTCAACCTACTTAATTTTCTGTAGAGTGCTTTAAAAATGTTTATTTCACCTTTTAAGAGCACAGTAAATATTTTAAAATTTACTATTTAAAATTTTTTAATTAATTTTTTTTCAGAAACTGGAGTATGGTGGCTCACCCTTGTAATCCCAGGACTCTGGAGGCTGAGGCAGAAGGATTACTGAGAGTCTGAGACCACTCTGGGCTACATAGTGAATTTCCAGGCCAACCTAGGCTATGGTGAGACCTGACTCAAAAAAGGAGTACTAAACCAGTTATGGTGGCAACACCCCTTTAATTCCAGCACTTGGGAGGCAGAGGTAGGTGTGTCTCTGTGAGTTTGAGGCCAGCCTAGTCTATATAGTGAGTTCCAGGCCAGCTGGAGCTACAAGGAGACCCTGTCCCAAAAAGATGAAAATAAATAAATAAATAAAGGAGTACTAAATCTCTTTGTTTTGTTTATTGTTTTGTCAAATCAACATATATAGTTGCTGATAGGTTATATTATTACCTTTTTATGGCAAGATAGTTTCTCTCCGTGTGGCCCAGGCTGGCCTCAGTCTACAATCCCCTTGCTGCCACCACTCAACTGCTGATATTACAAGCATGCACCACTATTCCCTGCTCCAAATTCATATCACTTTAAAAGGGCAATCTGATAATGTGTATCAAAATCTTGGCATGTTAAAAAACAAAACAAAACCAACAAAAAGCTGGACATGATAGTACTTGCCTGTAGTCCCACCACTCAGGAGGTTGAAGTAGGAGAAATGCAACAAGTTTGAGGTCAGCCTGGGCTACATAGTGAGTTCCATGCTAGTCTGGGCTACAGAGTGAGACTCTGTCTTTTAAAAATGCTAGTTATTGCTGGGCGTGGTGGTGCACGCCTTTAATCCAAACACTCAGGAGGCAGAGGCAGGAGGACCTCTGTGACATAGAGGCCAACCAGAGTTACATGGTAAGTTCCAGGCCAGCTGTGGCTATAGGGAGACCCTATGTCAAAAAAACTAAAAAAAATGCTAGCCATAGTGGAGGGTTCTTACATTTCATATATGTGTGTGTGTGTGTATTCATTTCCCAGAGAAAGGCTGACAACCCTATCTAACTTAACAACTGCTTCCATGTCTTCAACCTGCTTAATTTTCTGTAGAGCACTTAACAAATATTTGTTTATTTCACCATTTAAGAGCATAGTAAATATTTTAAAATTTACTATTTAAAACTTTTTTTAAAATTTAAATTTTTTTTCAGAAACTAGAGTGTGGTGGCTCACCCCTGTAATCCCAGGAATCTGGAGGTTGAGGCAGAAGGATTACTGAGAGTTTGAGACACTCTGGACTACATGATGAATTTCCAGGCCAACCTGGGCTACACACACACACACACACACACACACACACACACACACACACATATATACATATGTGTATATATATGTATATATATGAGAGAGAGAGAGAGAGAGAGAGAGAGAGAGAGAGAGAGAGAGAGAGAGAAGAGAATCTTTAACCAGGAGAAGCTTCCACTTGTGGCTGAGACCTGAAAAAAGAATGATGGTTCAGGCAGATAAGGGAGGAACCTCTCTGAGAGGGAATAAACTTACATAAATTCCCTGGGGTGAGAAAATGGAGGCTGAAGGACTGAAAGAATAGCTTGTTTCCTCTAGCAAAGATTCTATTTGATTTTCTTCACAGCACTCTGCACATCAGAATTTATCAGGTCTATTTGCTTGTTTATTGATTTTATTTATATGTTTATAGTCTGTCAGCCTTCCTGCCAGCTGGTTCCTACCCCTCCTAGCGAAAGCTCCGTGGGAACTGAAGCTTGGCCCCTCCCCCTCACCGCTGAATTTTCTAAGCCAAAAATATCTAACAGGCACTCAATCAATATTTCTTGACTGAATCAACAAATTAGCTCAATGTGTAGTTCATATTACAGAGTTTGATCTGTCTTAAGAGCAATGAGAACTTGAATTTTAAAAAGAGGAGTCACATTATCTAAACGTTTTTTAAAAAGCTCTTTATGGCTGCTATGTGTTTGATTTTGTTTTTTGCTTTTTATAAATAATATTCAAATGAAAGAATCACATTTACAGGTCCTATGTGTTTGAAATTGCATTTTTTCCACTGTAGAGAGAAGGTCACTGTTTTTAGATATAATAAACACTATCTTTGCTGTATGGGAAAGATATTTACCAAATATTTATTTAGTTTACTACTACTTCTAATGTCTTTTTTAAACTCATTTGAGTAAGAGTCCAGGACCACTTTGATGCCTCTAATGGGTAAGGTCCATTTAACCTTGCCTGTCCACACACACAGTATAAATCTTATGGACCTCCCACACCCTAGGTCTCCAGGTAAACTGCAGGGCTTGCTTTCTTTTGAAAGTCAAGTCCCTTCTCAGGTAAAATCACCTTACTTCAAATGTCCATTTGCTCCCCGCTGTCACTTCAATTTGCATAGATGGCCCTCATCATCACTTGGCATGATATATGCCTGCTTTGCATGTCCTTCAGTACAATGTCCATTTACTGAGAACAAACAATTTGCCTTTCTTATTTATTTGCTTCTATAGTCCCAGTGCCTTGAGTCTTAGTACAGAGTAAATGCTCTTTAACTATGGTTGAATAAATGAAAAAATGAAAAAAAAGCACTGACGAAAATCTTTTAGCCAGCAAACCATTTGTGCTTTCATCCAGTTTGCTTCTTTAGTAGTGCACAATAAAATTCAAGATATAAATGAATTCTAAATGCATTTTTTAGTTTGCTCTGAGGAGCGGCTTACAGGATGGAAAGACACACAAAGGAAAATAATTATTCATTAAATATTTAGTGTGGTATTAGGGATTGAACCCAAGGCCTCTGAAGCCTTACTAATGTTAGGCAAGAGTTCTACCCCTGAGTTTCATCCCCAGGCCCCATTTCAAACATTTATTCATTCAATTAAGTCATTCATTCAATAAATACTGTGAGCCACTGCTCTGTGCTAGGCCTGAGGGCTATGAATACAAAAGGTATGAGCTCTGTCCTGAGAAAGTTCCCAAGGTAGAAGAAAGGCATCCTGGGATTATGTAGTTTCATCTAGTCATTTAGTAAAGACCTTGGAAGCTAACATGTGTTGACTCCATTGACAGCCCAGGCAACACTCACAGGTGTGATTTGTCAGAGGGTACCGGAGGCATTAATATGATCAAAGCAAGTTATATGTGTATATGAAAATGTCACAGTGATGAAGCAAGAAAATGTCAAAGTGAAATCCATCATTTTGTGCAACTAATACATTCTAGTAAAACAGAAGAAAGATTAGGGAGTGAAGCTCAGGAAACACATAAAGCTGGCAGAGGGTATTTTAAGTTCCAAAGCCTTAGAAACAGCATCTTGTCTATTTGCCTCATCCTAGTAGCAAAGATTACAATTGCTTTCATTTTTTTTTAACAGCAGGATGCTTGGGCTATAGGCCTGCAAATGTCCTGTTTATACTGGCATTGTTACTGAAAATCTTTTGGTCATTGAAAGCTATCATCTCTGAAAAGACCATTGTGGTGGTATTGTTTCTCTCACAAATCTCCCTGTAACTTAATTAACTGGAGTTGTTATCCCCTGAGCAATAAATTCAAAAAAATAGGAAGTATTATTGTAAATATTTAGTATACTAGAAGTAAAATGAGTTATGGCTAATAGCATTAATATTAGAGGAATTCTGTGTAGCCTTTTCCCTCAGCAATGAAAGGGTTCATGTCTGTGCTATCTGTGAATTTACATGTAGTAACCTGCCCAAGTAAAACAGTATGGAGTACATTTCTGTAGCTGAAATTTAAGGTTCAGAGGCTTTGGCTCAGAAAGCGCAGAACAGTTTTCTAACTCATGCCAAATAAACTAGAAAGTAACCTACCTATAACAAATTAAGAAGGGATCATAGAAGACAGAGGTATGGGTTTAGAAAAGATGTACTCTTTGGTACTGC